GATTGTATTTGCTATCGAAACGTGGGCCCATCTAAACAGTCTCTTGGTGGTTCCAGCAAGGGGCGAAAGGGATTGTTTCGAAGGCTCTGGCCATGCTTTGATCATACACAGCGGAACACCTTGGGCATATCAAGCATTTGGTTTCCCCTTTGTAGCAGCGAAGAAAAAATTCCAACAAACTTTCTCCAGCTTTAGGATAACACCTGAATAACTGGTTATCCTGGCGCCAGTTGTTGCCAGTTCGCGCCCTTTGTACCCTCTCGAAGTTTGCAGCAATTCTCTGGTTGCAGAGGATGCTGCACCTAGGGCATAGTATCATTCCCGTATCTCCTTTGTGGCACATCATGAGGTAATCCTTAAGACTAGCATCCCCAGCATGATTATCCTCCATTTTATACTTCTCTTTTTCTAAGTATCTCTCCACCTCCTACATTTCAGAGCGAGGTCTCTCCATATCCACCATGTTTACATCAACATCCTCCCCCTTAGTGTCATCATCTCCCCATCCTGTAGGTTTTATATCTTCAATTTGGATTTTTGAACTCTCTGGGGCAGAATATTTGACCAAGTAGTCAAACTTTCCACTGGGTTCCCCTAAAGTATCCCATATTTCTTTCTGAGGGGAGGTTGGCTTCGTGATTTGGACTTTCTCCAATTCTAGCCTCAGGCCTTCAGTAACCTGTGTCAACTCTTGCTTTTGGTTTCCCTGGCCTTCAGTAGCCTGGACTTCTTTTGCAACAGCTAAAGATGCTGCTGCGATCGAAGTCTCTGGTTGCTTGTGGACGTCTTCAGTGACCCCCTTGTTGACTTCGACTAACACCCAGCTTTCATTTTCAGCACCTTTCTCTCCTACTGGAGCGTCATTTTGATCAGCTTCCACCACGTTAATTTCTCCAATGCATACAGGCTCGGAGTAATTGGTGTCTGTGACATCCAAAGGATCTTCATCTACTTTCATTTTTGCTTTATCAGCGAACTTCAGTCTGCCATCTTTAATTGCATTCTGAATTAGGTCCCTGAAAAGAAAACACTGTGAGGTTTTGTGGCCTAGGAAACTATGATACTTGCAAAATCCTCTTTTCTTCCTTTGATCTAAAGGAGGTATTTTGACATTTGATGGCACAATGAGTTGGCCATCTTTGACAAGTAAATCAAAAATCTCGTCACACTTAGTTATATCGAAGGTATAAACCTTCTTTGGGAATTTGTCACTTTTCTCATTTTCAACAATTTCTTTCCCTTTTGTGGGAACTAATAATTTGCAGGAGTAAGGTGGTGCCTGTTTTAATTCAGCGAGGTCGATTTCGACCTCTTCGAATTCGAATTCAGGATAATCTTCTGCTTCCTCAGTTCCAACATAGGAGACCCTTTCCTTCTTGTTATTTTTAAAAACTCTGGCCTTTTCGGCTTTTAGCCTTTCGACCTGTCGAACCCTATCGGCTAGTTGAGCCATATCCCTCAAGTATTGAGTGTCTAATTTCTTTCTAATAGAGTAATCCAGGCCGCCAGCAGCCATTTCGACTAACTCATGTTCAGGAACTACTGTAAAACATCTAGATTTCAAGAGCCTGAATCTATTCAGATAATCATCTATGGGTTCAGTAAACTTCCTTTTGACACTGGCTAGTTCCTTCAGACTTATTTTAGATTGTCCCATGTAGAACTATTCATGGAATAATCTCTCCAACAGCGCCCAAGTATCTATGGACCCAGGAGGTAAAGTGGTGAACCATGTGAAAGCGTTCTTAGTCAGGGAACTTGGGAAATATTTGATCCTAAGGTCTTCATTATTGGCTATATCTCATGCTTTGGTTAGATATCTGGCTATGTGTTCGACTGTTGGTTCATTGGTATCCCCAGCAAACTTTGTAAACTTAGGGACTTTATGTCCCCTTGGTAAATCAGTGTGCATTATGTAATCTAATATAGGGGAGGCATAATTTGGCCTTCTAATTCCTGTGTTGAGGCCATTCTGGGCCATGATTCTCTCTATCATGGTGGTTAAATTATTTTCTGCCAAGATGTTATCGTTTCGAATTCTATGAACGACTGCATCAGCATCTTGATTTCGACCCACCATGACAACCCCTCTAGGTTGTTCTCCTCGAAACTCTGGGACTTCTAGCCTTTCGACCCTTGCCCCTGGTTCCATAATTTCTCTTTGTGGGCCTTGAATCATTGGGGCTTCTAACCTTTAAGCCCTTGCCCCCAAATTAACCTCCTCTCTGGCTGGTCTATAGGGTGGGTCGTTAGCAACTTGTTCTATAACAGGTACGTTTGCTCGAACTCCCGCCTGATTCTGCCTACGCCTTTCTGGGGGAGCGAAAAAATCTACTATTCGACTCACGTTATCCGCATTTTCTCTGTTTTTCACAGTTACATTTTGTACTATTGGGGCAAAGATTTCCTGCATAGTTTGTGCTAACACTCCTATCATATTATGGTTACTGTCATCCATTAATTGCCTAAAGGCCAACTGATTTTCTGTGGTTAAGATAGGCATTGCACTATAACCCACTGACCCTTGGTTATTTGTCATAAATTGATTAGCCCCAGATCCAGACCCTAATTGTGGTGATGAATTCGATGTGGAATTGTGTAAGCCTGCCATAAAAGATGTTGGCATTCCATAAGAGGAATTTCTGGTTCTGTTACCATTGAAATCGGGTGGTCTAGTTAGTGGGGTGGCGAAATGGGTTTGTGTCCCTGGTGGTGGGACGAATCCCCCAGGATAACCAATGGTTCCAGTATTTCCTAGGATCGAACTGTTAGTTGATATGCCACTTGTTCCATTAGTGGCTACGCTACTGGTAGAGGATGTAACAGACTGTGCGTTCGAAGGGATTGCATTAGATGTTCCCATCGAAGCGTACATATTAGTGCCTGTTGTATGTGAGATATTTTGTTCCCCTTGTTGATTGTCTGGATTAGACATCTTGTTTAAACGTTTTCTTCTGGATAAGGGTTGGTTGCTATTGGTTATTCTACCACTTCTAAGGTTCATAAAACAACAAACTTATCACTCAGAGAGTACTTTTACAATGGTTATGTCTCAACAATTTTTTACTTTGTTCTAAATTTCGTAATGACCAATGACGCGTCCCACCAGATGTGCCAATTTGTTTACAGTTATTTCTGGTAAACAACCGCTAGTCCTCCAAACTATCAAATAATCTTAATGACTGTTATTTAATCTCTCTGGTAACTTGCAGGATCGACTAGATTGATCCTAGGATGTATTGGTCATTTGGATAATTCTCATTATAGAACTGATATTCATGGTTGGTATTTGGAATGTTGTGTAGGTGTTCAACTTACTTCGATTACTCTATTAAAGATCTAATGACATGATCAAGTAAATGCGTGCGAAACTAAATTGCATGAATAAAGTTCAATTGTAAAGACATGTAAAACTGCAGAAAAGACAAGTAAATGACTTCGAAGCATAAAAACATGTAATGTAAAAGCGTTTCTGGAATGTAAAAGATTCGAAATATGAAGAAAGCATTTAAATGCAAGAAATCAGTAAAATGACTTTGAATGAAAAAGGTATTCGAATAATAAAAGCATGAAGATAAAGGCATGAAATATACAAAAGTTTCTGAAATGTAAAGGATTTGAAATGGAAAGAAAACATTTAAATGTAAGACATCAGTAATAAGACTTCGAATGAAAATATTTTAATGTAAAGGCTTTTGAATGATATTGACGTGAAGATAGAGGAAAAGACTGGAAATGATAAAGAGTTTTATTGAATCATAAATACTTGATGTTATCATACGTACATTGTTCGTGCATTCGTTTCTCTAGCCATGTGGTATTTTGAATGTTTACTGAATTTTTGTACAATAGATATGACACACGAAATCCTAATGCTAAGACTTCTATTTATACTATTTCGACCATAACAGTCTTGCTATAAGATTCTGCCACGTTCAGAACATGCAAAGCAATGCCCTCCTCTAGCTTCCACGCGTCTTCGAATGCTCCAGCGCATATATTTTAAATTTCGAACATCCCGCTTGCGTTTTGAATTTCAAATGTTTTGGCACTCTTCGTTTCGAACTCATTTCTTGGACACAGCCTTGTTACCATTTCGAGACTTTTTGAATATATCCCCATAACTGTCACTCGAAGCTCAGAGTTTTGACATGCCCATTCGAAGCTTCTACAATTTCGAAACATGACATCTTGTTTTATTCCAATCGAAACATCCAACTTACTTCGCTTCGAACAATATCATCAAAATCTTCAGCCAACAATTATTAAGTATTTACTAATCTATATACTTTCAATTATTTAAATATATTTTTTTATATCACATTAATAAACAAGTTTGTAAAATACTTAATAACATTTCTCAATAATTAAGAAAGTGGCAAAATGATTTAGAATTTCGAAGGTCAGCTAACAATCTTTTTAGCACATCTCTCTTCTCCTCAAAAAAAAAAAATTCACAACAAACCACACATGATTCAATGATCAAACCCCCCAAAATAGAAAGTTTCAATCTTTTTCATTGACGACAAAGAGAAAAAGTTTCGACATCAAAATCCAATTTAGACATATTCAAATCATAACCCATCAATCTATGCAGTTGACCAGTATCACCCAATATAACATTTAATTAAATAGACTTGGTCATACAGAAGCCTGACATATCATACAGCACGTTTTGCTTTATGATAGCAGCCTAAGCAATCAACCAGAAACTCAAATGGCAAACATCATCATGCACATGCAACTTTTCTAGAAAGGAAGGAAAGTTGTTAAGGAATTAGTCATATAATAACTTTTCAACTTCTATATAACATTATTATTAGTCTTATTACATTGAAACTTTTGAAAGAGCATGATTGCGTTCTTAGATTACTGCATGGTTTGATATTTTGTGTATATATAGATATCAAGTCCCTCACCCTTTTTGTCAAAAAGAAAAGAAGTTCCTCGTCTAATTAAAAGAAATTTTCATTAAGTTATTGAGTTTTTCGACGAGAAAAATGGGAGAAGAAAATAAAGCAACAAAATGGGAAGGTAAAGCCATTGTTGAGGTAAGAGGCACTGAGGAGGAAATAGTATGGAGTGTGTTAGAAGATTTCTGTAACCTACAAAAATGGCTACCAATTGATAGTTGTTATAAATTTGAAGGAGTTGAAGGTGAACCTGGTCTTGTTCGTTATTGTGCTTCAACTAAAAAAGGAATTGTTAAGTGGTTCAAAGAGAAGCTGTTGACAATAGATCATGCACAACGTTGTTTGTCCTATGAAATTGTTGATAACAACATGGGATTTAAGAACTACGTGGCTATAATGAAAGTACTGCCGTTGCAAACCAACGGTGGGGATGATGCTAATAAATCTGTAGGGTGCATGATTGAATGGGAGTGTGTTTGTGATCCAATAGAAGGATGGAGTTTGCAAGATTTACATTCTTATATTGGGCACTTTCTCAAGTGCATGGCCAACAAGATTGAGCTTGCATACTCAAATAATCAAACTTAGTGGAAATACTAATACTAATGTTTATGGAATAATGCTGTCCTGTTGTGATACCATTAAGGAGATCTCTTAAATCTTAAAACTGTATTTGAAATTTGAGGTTATGTACTCCAATTTTCATTGTGTAATGTAATTTGTTTACTTTTGTGCGTGTGTTCACTATTTTTATTCTCTATTACTTTGTTTTGCAACTTTTATTTATTGTACAAATGGAGTTTTATTCACCATTTATACTTTATGCATGGTTTAGTTTAATGCAATTTTTTTAGCAAAGGCAATTAAAAAAAAACAAGAAGGAACAAACAAGAGGGGCAACAAAACCAAAACCCCTTAAAATGATGAGATTCTAAACCCAGGCATATGTCTAGCTTGTTACCCAAGAAATCTCTAGATATGCTTTCAATGAATATAATTAAACTAGTGTAAATTTCGTAGATGTAAAACCATGACCAACTAGTTTGTCTGCACAAGTGTTATCATGAAGTTCATTGTTTAAGAGACAACCAAGCAAGTCGACCATCTTTGTCTTTATGCGCTCAGGAACCATAGATGTATTAGTAAAAGCTTTTATAACCATCATTGAATCTGTTTCCAGTCAAATCTTCTTGCATTTTCTCTCCTTCGCTAACTCAATAGCCATCATAGCACTTATTAGTTCAGCAAGATAAGCAGTTTTTTTACACAAAAAGGAATAAAAGATGCACATATGTGAAGAAATTTGAAGAGAAATGGGAGTGGACTTTGAACTTTCTTTCTTTATAAAATTGTCCAATTAACTTTTAATATGAGTACAAAGTGATTTATATAGGATCACAATATAGAATATTAAGAGTTACAACAATAACTATTTCTAGTTCCCTAAAGGAATAAACTTCCCACTGCCTAGCATTATCCAAGACTGATTTGAATTTAACCAACAAAACTCCCCCATAAATTTAAATATTCCTTCGATCCATCATGCCTAGCATTTTCTTGCCTCTGTCGAATAGCTCCTTCGTGGTTTTGTAAGAATGACTGATGCTTGATCTTTGCTTGCAACGTGTTTCAGTTCGATGCTTACATCCTTCACATTCTCGAATAAAGTGGAATTGAACATCAATGTTCTTGCTTCTTTCGTGGTTGACTGGATTCTTCTCCAGTTCGATTGCAGATTTATTGTCGAATTGGATTATTATTGCATCTTCATGTTTCGATTTCATCCTGCTCGGCAATCTTCTCATCCATATTGCATGGCTTACGCACCAGGATGTTGCCACATACTCTTCTTCACAGGTCAAAAGAGTTACTATGGGTTGCTTCCTTGACAGCCAGGTGAATGCAGTATTTTTCATGAAGAACACATATCCTGAAGTGCTCTTTCGATCATCTATGTCACCACACCAATCGCTGTCAGAGTAGCCAGTCAACTTGTATTCTTCTGCTTTCGAATAGAATATTTCAAGTGACACAGTTCCTTGGACATATCGAAGGATTCTCTTCAGAGCTTTCCAGTGTGCAACAACTGGTTCTTCTATGAAACGACTCACAATTCCAACACTCAGTGAAAGATTTGGTCTTGTGCATGTGAGGTATCGAAGACTTCCCACCAAGTTTCGAAATTTGTTTGCTTCGACATGCTCTCCCCCATCAAATTTTGAAAGCTTTTCTCCTGGATCCATTGGTGTCGAAATGGGATTGCAGCTATCCATTTTAAATCTTTTCAAGATATCTTTTGTATATTTTTATTGTGAGATGAAGATTCCTGTTTCTTCTTGTCGAACCTCCAGATCAAGAAATTATTTCATCAGGCCTAAGTCAGTCATCTCAAATTCTTGTGTCATTGTGCCTTTGAACTCTTCGATCATCTGATTGTTGTTGCCCAAGAAAATTAAATCATCAACGTAGAAAGCAACAAGAAATATTTTATCTTTTTTCTTCTTCACATACAGGGCATGTTCGTAGGGACATTGCTGAAATCTATTTTCTTTGAAGTATGTGTCAATTCATGTATTTCATGCTCGTGGTGCCTACTTCAGCCGATAAAGTGCCTTCTTTAGCTTTAGCACCTTTCCTTCATTTTCGATTTTCATGAATCCAGGGGGTTGTTCGATATAAACTTCTTCTTCTAGCACGCCATTCAAAAAAGCTGACTTGACATCCATCTGATTTATTTTCCATTTGTATTGAGCAGCTTGAGATATGAGCAATCGAATTGTCTCCATTATCCCAACAGGTGCGAACACTTCATCAAAATCGATTCATGTTTTCTGCCTGTATCCTTTCGCCACAAGTTGCACCTGTATCTTTTGATTTTACCTTGTTATCTTTTTCTTAAACACCCACCTTACACTAATTGTTTGACTTCCTTTTGGTAACTCTGCTAGTTCCCAAGTATCATTGCGTTCGATGGCCTTAATTTCTTTATTCATAGCATCCTTCCAATTTTTGTTTCTTATTGCTTCATCAAAACTCACATCTTCAGTGTTTGCCAACAAACATACGAGATGCACTTCTTCCTTGTTTTTATATAAGTCTTATAAACTTCGCAACCTGGGCTGTGAGAGTCCATCTTCATCATCAGAATTTTCTGGTTCTGTCGAAGTGTCTTTTGATATAGCATCTGGTACTTCGATCACAACTTCAGTTGAGTTATTCCAGTTCCACTTGCTTTATTCGTTTACTCGAACATCTCTAATCACTATCACCTTTTTGTTTATTGGGTCGAAAAGTCTGTAACCTTTCATTTTATCATCATACCCAATGAGTATGTATTTCCGACTCTTATCTTCCAGCTTTGTTCTTCTTTGATAAGAAACATGAGCATAAGCCACACTTCCAAACACTTTGAAGTGAGACACAGTTGACTTTCGTCGGCTCCAAGCTTCTTGAGGTGTTAAATCTCCCAACTTCGAATGTGGACATCTATTCTGAGCGTAGATTTCACATTGTACAACTTCTTTCCAAAATTCCTTTGACATGTTCTTGCTCTTAAGCATTGATCGAAGCATGTCAAGGATTGTTCGATTCTTTCTTTCTGCCACACCATTTTGTTGAGGTGAGTATGCTGCAGTCGTAAATCTCCTTATGCCTTGCTCTTCACAGTATTTCATAAGGGCTGTCGAAGTATACTCCCCACCTCTGTCTGATCGAAGAGCTTTGATGTGCTTGTCTGTTGCTTTCTCCACCATTATCTTAAACTTCTTTAATACTTCGAAGGCTTCTGACTTTTCTTTCAGAAAATACACCCAAGTTTTCCTTGAGTAATCATCAATAAAGGATATAAAGTACTTCTTGCCACTGAAGGATTCTGGGGTAATTGGTCCACATATGTCAGTGTGAATCAATTCTAGAATTTGTTTGGCCTGATATTCTGCCTTCGATTGAAATGAGGTTCTCATGTGTTTGCCAAACACACATTCTTCACAGAACTTTCCTTCGAATTCTACGTCTGGCAGTCCATGCACCATATTTTTCTTTGCTAACCTCCTTAGTCCAGTTTGATGTGGATGACCAAAATGTAGATGCCACAGGGATGCTTGGTCTTCGACACTGACTTGAAAACACTTTTCTAGAATGCTTCTCAAGTTTAACTCGTACATTCGATTTCTCCCTATTTCGACTTGAGCAACCAGACATCCTGACTTGTCTTTCAAGTGAAAGCTTCGATCTTCCATGAGAATCAAATAGCCCTTTTATGTGAGTTGTCCCAGACTCAAAATATTTTCTTTGAGATTTGATACATAATACACATCTTAGATTGATCCTAACAAATCATCCTTTTGCAAGAAACTAATTGTTCCTTTTCCTTCAACCTTTACTTTCGACGCATCTCCAAAGGAAACATGACCATCCTAAATTTTCTTTATTTCTTTGAACAAGGGCTTATGACCACACATATGGTTACTTGCTTCTGAGTCCAGGTACCACATAGTGTCATTTTTTGCATCTGCTTCCTTTTGAGTCATTAACAGGAATCCTTCATTTGATTATGTTTCTAGGGAAAGATTTGTTGTTTCTTCTATCTTTCTTCTGAGTCGACAATCTTTTGCAAGATGTCCCATTTTACCACGGTTGTTGCAATCTTTCGCATAGTGCCCATGTTTGTTACATTTGTAACATTCGATATTGCTGTAATTCGACCTACCACCTCTCTGGCCACATCCTCTGCCACGCCAGTTTTGTTGACTTGACTATCCTCTGTCAAAGTTGTTATTTTGGTAACTTCAACCACCATTACGTCCTCCACGACCATGTCCTCTCCCACGCCAATTTTGAGAGAAAAATATCTTTTCGTCTCTGTTGGGTTGTGCATCCTCAAGTGCCCCCCCCTTTCTTCTTTATTTTGCGTTGTTCATGTGCCTCAAGCGAACCAACCACTTCTTCGATAGTGATTGTCGAAAGATCCTTCGCCTCTGCTATTGTGCATACTATATTTTCAAACTTGTCTGTCAAAGATCTCAGAATCTTTTCGATAATATGAGAATCAGTCATTGCTTCTCCATTTCGATTGATTTGATTTACCACCGTCTGCATACTGTAAGTACGAAGTGCGCCTAAGAGGGGGGGGGGGGGGGGAATTAGGTACTTTAAAAATTCTGGTTTTTAGTGATGATGGTTCTTATTTTTCTGGTTATAAGTGAGTTTAGGAAAGCTTAAAAATGCAGAAAAATAAAGAGACACGGGCGATATATCCTGGTTCCCCTCACAGTCCGAGAGTACTCCGGTCCCCTTTCAACATGAAAGAGATTTCCTTATTGTGGCAAACTTAAACAAGAAATACCAACCAAACTAAGAACAATCCTCTTGGACCAAGAACAATCCTCTTGGATTTTCACTAAGTTACCTATGAGAACAATCCTCTCAATCTAACAACACTTGTATCCAACAACTTGAAAAGATAAGATTTCAACAAAAACACTTAAACTTAGTTCCACCAATCCTGGAAAATAAGTAAGTAAAAATCAATTTGTGAGTTTGAGTGAGTAGAGTAATATTGATCACTTAGAGTGATTTGACAATGTATA